GTCAGCCCTGAGGAGCCTTCATTCAGACAACTAACAGCCTATTTAATTAGTTTCTCTCCTCTCTCTGACACACACACCTGCCTCCTCCTAAGCCATCACCTTGAAATCATTCTCCGGTTAGTAGGGGCAGAAGCAGTTACTGTCTATGTGCTAGGAGAAAAATGGAAACCCAAACTCAGATGCGTTTCATAGTCAAGGACAATCATTACCCTTGTCCTTGAAATCCTGTCTCTTTTTAACCTAAACTACACTTCTCACTGATTAGAAAGAGCAGTTCTGGCCAGATCTGCTGCGTGCTCTGTCTTCATCTGGCTCTGACAATGAATTTGCTTGCTGGTCTCTGAGTTATACTGACCACCATGGGGTATGCAATGACAGGGCTCCAGAGAAGGGCTTGCTGCTGATGTGTAGTTCCAGCCTGTCTCTGGCCTTCCCATAATACCAAGCTGCCATAGATGCCAGGGAGGTGTAGAGACACATAGTAAGTTATCCAGGAACACAAGACAGTCCAGCACAATTACCAGAACTTAGGCTCCCATTCCTGTTCCTATTCTTTGCTATTTCTAATACACCATACTCAAGTAGACTGAGCCAATAACTCCTTGATTAGCAAACCTAGTCTATATGCAAAAAAGATTTGATTGCAAGAATAGCAAAATACTGGAACAACTGAAATATTAAATGAAATGACTGTATAATAAATATGTATATATTATATACATAATAGTTCTATGAGGTTGTGAGAATGTTAACGGTGTAGAAAGGTTGTCAATCTCTATTAAGTAAATAAGCAGAGTAGAAAACAAAATACACACAAGCATACCCAGAAAGCAGAACCCTGGAAATGCTACCAGCTTATCCCTGGGAAGTAGGATTACAGGTGATTTTTATTTTCTTCATTAGTTTGTATCTGCCAACATAGACACACATTACATAGAAACGCAGAAAAATTTCATGCCACCTGATACGGTACATCATATTCCAAATTAAAATCTTTTCATCAGAAATGTGCTTTAGTACAAGCACCTTTTCCTAGGCTCACAATACACATATTCACCCGAGTCTACCAAATCATTATGTCTCCTTCTACACAGCACAGGTGAAAGCCCATCTCCATGGCAGCCAAGCCTGCCATCATGGTCCGCATGCAGGACTAGATAGCATCACTCCTCTATCACGGCCTTCCCTGTCTCCCAGTGGATTTCCTGTTCGAGGCTCCTCCTATCACATGCTATAGGCCTCTGCCCACCAATGTGATAGCAGCAGACAAACAGTAAAGAACTGAAGATTATCAACTCTCTGCCAAAACATATCCTTAAAACACTAGAAGTATCTATGCAAATAACCATTGTTGACTTAGAAAATTGGCAAAATTTTTTGTTTTTTTTTTTTTTCAGTTTTTGGTTAGGGCCAGGTTTGAACCCGCCACCTCCAGTATATGGGGCCGGTGCCCTACTCCTTTGAGCCACAGGCGCTGCTATTGGCAAAGATTTTTCAAAACAATAAATACTCAGCACTGGCACTCATATATACTGTTGTACCAATATACACTGGTAGTATTAATAGTATCTTTCTGGAGGACAGTTCAGCAACACATGTCAAAGTCTTAAAATGGGCACGACCTCTGATCCACTTCTCAAGTAAATTCTGTACTTAAGAATATGCACAAAGACTCAGCTTCCAATGTACTAAACACAATATTATTTACAACAATTCAAAACAACATTAATACCCACAGACAAGAAAACTGCTAAATAATGTTCCATAGAATGGAATACTGTACAGTCACTAAAGTATTTCATAAAAGACTAATGGCCTGATGAAGTGTTTTCAATAAGTAAAAAAGTAGAATAAGGATTCCATGTTTGTTTTGAAAAAGATATATACATACATGTCCACATATATGCTATATGTCAATAAAGATATGCATAAATAAATGCAAAAATATCATAGCATCTCATCTCTAGATGATGGAATTACAGGGTAATTTTTAAATTTGTATACTTCTGTATTTTTCAGCTTTTCTACAAAGAACATATATTACTTCTGTAATAAGTTTATTTATGTATTTATTTATTTTGGAGAAATATCCTACTTTTTTACTCTTCCACAGATTTGAGAGTCCTTCCATCCTTGCTCGGATTTGATACCTAACATTTTGGTTAAAATGGTCCCCAGTTGGTTAGAGCAGATGGGAAGCACTTTTTGGTTCTACATCATACTCCCACTGTCAGCTCTTGCTTCCTGACTTGGCCTTTCAGAGCCCTTATAAGCAAACCGGCTGGCTCCAGCCCCACGGCCCTGCCTAAGGAGCTGTCATGTGCCAGGAGAGCCACCACCGCCAAGACAGTGTGGCTGAGACAGACTTCCACCTCTCCTCCCCAGCCAGCTAGCCCAGGCTGAGGCAACAGAGCCCAAGCCTAGGGACTTGGCTCAGGATCCAAGGGGTGGGTGCTGCTCAGTAGATGATGACAACAACGACCAGAGCAGAGGCACCAGAAGGAGAGAAGGAAGCCAGAGAAGCACCTAAGAAAAAGCAGCAGAAAAGAAATGCTGAAAATGCCCACTAGGGAATCCTCAGGGTGCCATGCTTGTGAGTGGTGGGCTGGTCTCCCAGCCACCACACAGCCAGTCTCTCTGGGGGTTCTTCCTGCCCCATCTTTGTTGCCACATCCTCATCAAAGCCTTGAACCCTTGGCCTTGACATTGGCCCACCAAGTTCCCACATACTCACATTCTCAGTAGTTTCCTTGTTTGCTCTCTGTCTCCGGAGATCCGCCCTAATGAATGCTGAGGTCAAGAGATGGAGAAGGGTGACAAAGGCATAAGACATCAAGTTCATGCAAGAGAGGAAACCCTTATTTTCCTGAGGGTCACAGGTAACCCAAACCTACTTCAGATTTCTAGGGAGCTAGGGACACTGCCAGACCACTCAGTGAAGCCCAAGGATCACTGCTGTCCCTAAGAGGTAGATGCCAATAATGACATTATCCTTCACTTATTCATCACTTATATTTGCTGAACTCTGCACACGTTGCTCTAATTATCACAGCAATCCTCATTTTACAGATTAGGAAATTGAGACTCCTCAAGGTTAGTCCATTGCCCACGGTCAACAGCTGTGGGAGTCAATGTCACAGCCGAAGACTCAAATATGGGTCTCCCGTCTCCAGAGCTTCCACTCATTCCACCAAAACATGTTACTGCCTCCCAAACAGACCCTCTAACAAGCCCTCCCATCTCTAACAAGTCCGCCTGAGTAAGTAGTTACTCCCTGTCTGTCCAATCAGTCAAGACAGTGGGATCCCAAATTGCCAACAGCCTTGCTCGTGGGCAGCCTGGGACCCATCTTCCCTTCCTATCCCAACTCACCAGTAAGGGCTGCTCCAAGGGTGAGGAACACACACAAGAAGATGTTCCCAGGCTGGGTTCCATAGTTGTCGATAATCTGGCCCTGGGAGATGGTGAAGATGATCCCAAATACCTAGAAAGATATAAAGAAGATAGGAAACAAGGACCCAATCATCTACCCCGTGGGCAGAATTGAGCTGCTATAACACACTGCTAGTCCAACCAGGCAGTACACAAGGAGTAAATAAGAGCTGTGTACCTGTGCAGACACATTGAGGAGGCCAGATGACATGCCTTCGGATTCCGGGTATGTGAGCTCCACAGCAAACTCAAATCCCAGCGGGAGATAGCCAGTCATAAAGAAGCTGAAGTCCAGAACAGAGAAACAAGGTGATGAAGAACTTCCAGAACAAGAAAGATGAGCAGCCCACCTCCTCCCTTAGAGCTTCTTTTCCATTTTACTTTCTCCCCATCAAGACTCACCGGGCCTTAGAATGATCTGGGCATCCCCTAAGTGGCCATACTCCTCCCTAAGGGTCGGGAAGAAGTTCATATGTAGGCCTGTGTTCAGCAGGCCTCCAGGGTCCCTCACTGCCTTTTCACCATCCGTGACAGACAGGGGCAGCTTTTACAGGAGGGGCAAGGTTGTCTGGTGCATCCAACCCTCAGCAAAGACTGTCAGGGGGACACAGACCCTGCGCTGAGAGCCTAAAGTTTCTGGATAGTGAGCAGCTTCTCCATAGCTCTCTGGGACCTGGAAGGAGGAGCTTGGGGTCTTCCTTGTTTCCCTCCAGAGAAGAGCCCCCTACGGAGAATTGAGCACCAGAAACATCTCCCTTCCACCCTCCCCGTCTTTCTCATATATCTGCACATTCATATACCACCCACACAAGAATAACTGGGAGGTGGAGCTGAGCAGAGACTCCTGTGAAAGGAATATTGTTTCTGAGGTTTTTTCTTATACAACAGGTCAAGAAAGTTCCAATTCTGATTTCTGACATCTGCACCACACTTCACGCTGCTTTCATATCTATTATCCCTCTCAATCCTTCCAACAACTCCACAAGGCACAGGCCACTTTTATCTTCATTTACAGATGAGGAACTTGAGGCTCAGAATGTTTTTAATTTTTTTTTTTTTTTTAGAGACAAGGTCTTGCCCGGGCTGATCTCCTCCCACCTCAGGCTCCTAAAGTGCTCAGATTTCAGGTGTGAGCCACCTCACCCAGCCTTCAGAATGGCCAAGTGATGTGCCTATACTCTAAAAAATAGTCAGCAGGAGAATGGAGACCGGGACCCAGTTTCTGATTCCAAGCCCTGTGTATTTTCTATGACCCTAGGTTGTCCCAGGCAAAGTTAGAAATGACTCTAAATATTCCCTACCTCTCAGAGGTCTCTAAGGGCAGAGTCCATGCTTCATTTTATCCTAAAGCACGAACAAGCCAGGCTGCCTTTTGAAGTGCTACAAATTTTACCAAGACACCTAGACACCATTTCCACATCTCCTAAGTTCAGTAAGAAGGCAGCAAAAGGATTGCTATTTCATCCTAGGATGTATTGGATGAATATTGGCAGCTCTAGGAGCCATGAAATGGTGTTTTCTAGTTAAACACATGGGAGGAGAAGCTTACCCCATTGTGCCAGCAGTGATGAACACTACCCACAGGTATCCCAGGCTCAAGGTCAACGTGTATACCACCATGCCAACCAGAGTCATGATATAGACCACCAGAGTTGTCTCCCTGTAAGCAGAGGCAAAGAAATTGAGTCATACACCTCTAAGTTTAATGGGATTGAGCATTCATTCATTCTGCAAGTACCTGTTAGGCACCTGCTGTATGTCAAATCCTCTGCTGTGGGCTTAGACATGTTCTTCATAGAACCTTCTGTCCACAAGGGTGATGGACACTAAGCCAATAATCACGCAATAAATTGCTTTAACTACATTGCGATCAATGCTACAAAGGTTAAGAGGAAAAGAGTATGAAGCCATCTTACTATGCGTATATTCTCTTCTTGCAGAACCCGCTCCACAATATCAAGCTGCCCCCTGACTTGTCATGCTCTACTCATAGACAAGAAGGCCACAGCCCTTTCCCTCCCCTATCCTCGACCAGAGGAAAAGAAAAACAGAACAGGACAAACACGAGCCATAGTGTGATGGCAGGGGTGGTCAGGACTACCCCAGAAGCCATCTGATTCCGCTAGTCTGTTTAGTCCCCCAAAACAGCATTGTCATTGCCCATGACAATGTTAAGCAATGATTTAACTTTTAGATGCTCTCTGCCACCTGCCAGTTCTTCCTGTCCCTACTTGCACAAGCCCAACACAGCTTTTCCTGTTGAACCCGAACATTCTCTCACCCTGAACTAAGTCCTTGACTTCCAAAGCCAAAGTGAGAAAGCTCCATCCACACCCTGTTACATTTCCCATTGTCTGTCCCTTCAGAAATACCTTCAGCAAGTCCTGGTTTCTATTTCAGGCTCACCTCTGCTTTTGCCCCACCACACTTCTCATGCACGTCACCCACCCAGAACCCTACTGCAGCCTTGACTTCTACAATTAGGCCTGCATTCTTCTCTCTGAGACATTTACCACAGGCACGCTCTACACATCCTTCTGCCTTCCCACCATGAGCATCAGGACTCAGGCGATGAAAACCTATTAAAGCCTTCACGTGTCTCCCCTGAAGCCACAAACACGGTGGGCACAGCAGCAGGTGCACTATGGTTACGTCAAACTAATACCTACATGTACTGAGTGTCAAGTTCTGTTAAGCACTTGACATGTGTTTGCTATTTTACCTAAAACCTTACAAAAATCCTGGGCATGTGACTGGGATGATCCTGGGATTCTATATCTCTAATTTTACCAATGAGGAAAATGAGGCTCAGGCCATTAAGTTATTTGTCCAAAGCCACCACCAGTTGAGTAAATGCAGAGCTGGGATGTGAACTCAGAGCTGGATTTGAAACCTGCACTCTTTCTACCACTCCATACAGGAATAACAACATACCATGTAGTTGCATGTTTGGAAAGCTCCAGGTCAGAGCCTCCAAAGGATGCTAACCTACCTGGTGCTTCAAGGCACCTGTTGAGGATAGAGGTGCTGCCTCCTTCCTCCAGCCTGCGTCCTCATTCTATTATTCTATTCCCACAATCTGCAGAGAGCGACATTTTTATTTAGACACCAGTCTTTCTCAGTGATCCCAAATACTAAACTTTTTGTCCATGTTTGTTTAGCTATAGCTTTATTGTAAACCACTGACCAGTTTAGAAAAACTATTTCTAGTTCTAGCCTGAGCTAAATAGACCTCACCACCCAATTTCCAGCCTCCAAATCAGACTGGACAAATCTGGGATCCTTTGAGAGAAGAGAATCACAGAGCTCTGTCCTCCCCAGGGGATAACTGAAAGGTGTCCTTTGTCTTCCTGGGCAGTGACACTAGGAGTGCCTCATGCTGACCACCAGATTTAGTCCTCCAGTGACACTAGGAACTGATGGCATCTAGGTTCTGAGGAGACGGAGCAAGTGTCCTCCCTGGTTCTTTCATTCTATTTTCTAATTCATCTGAATCATCCGGCTGCCCACGTCCCAGTCCAGCCAACATTCCAGTCCCTCCCTGCTCCTGCCGCAGAGCCCTGCTAACAGGGACATTGCTGTGTACTAATTTGGAGGTAGCCTGCCATCACTGCCCTTGCATCTGGTTGTAGCAGCCAACAAACAGATGGCAGAGACTAGACGGCGGCCAAGCTCTCCCAGCAGTAATTAAGCCCAGCCAGGCTCCTCACTGTGTTACACCAGGCGGCCACATCCCGAGGGATGATCTCAATTGCCCTTTGACTGGGGCAGTGAGAATGAGAACTGATCTGACCAGAGCCTCACAGAAGCGAGTTTGTGCGGCAGAGAACAGGTCTGCCACTGTCTGTCGCCTCCAGACTCTGGGAACTTTGGAGGCCTTGACAAAGCAGCCCAGAACAGGACCCTGCCCTGGGGCAGGACGGCCCCAGCAGCTGTCCCACCAGCCAGTGCTAATCAAGCACTGGGAATGCACAAGGAAGGATGTTGGGCTACTGTTTTTCAAGCATTTTCCCCAAAGCCAGCTGCTGAATTGCGGGGCCCAGCTTGCTTTTTACAAATGCAGATTCCTCTACTGAATCAGCATCCACAGCTATAGGGCTCAAGAATCCAGTTTTTTAAACGTATTATGGGTACAGAATAGTTGTATTAGTATATCTTTATAGGGCACATGTAATGTTTTGATACAGGCATGCAACGTATATTAATCAAATCAAGGTAATTGGAGTACCCATCATGTTAAGCATTTATCATTTCTTTGTGTTAGGAACATTCTAACTCCACTGTTTTAGTTATTTTAAAGTATATTGATGATCATAGCCACTTCGTTTGCCCTCAAATGCTGTTCATTCTATCTAACCATATTTTTGTACCTATCAACCATCCTCACTTTATCTTCCTTCCCTGCTACCTTTCTCAGTTCTGGTAACCATCATTCTATTCTCCATCTCTATGAGATCAATTGTTTTTAATATTCAGCTTCCACGTGTAAGAACATAAGCTATGTCCTTCTATGCTGGGCTCATTTCACTTAACATAATGTTCTCTAGTTCCATCCATGGTGTTGCAAATGGCAGGATTTTGTTCTTTCTTGTGGCTATGTAATATTCGATTGTGTATATGTACCACAATGTCTTTATCCATTCATCCATTGATGAAGAATTAGGTTGATTCCTCATCTTGGCTATTGTTAATAGTGCTGTAGTAAACATGGGAGTGCAGATATTTTTTCAATACTGACTTCCCCTTCTCCTTTGGATATATACCCAGCAGTGGGGTTGCTGGGTCATACGATAATTCTATTTTTAGTTTTTTTGAGGAACCTCCATGCTGTTCTGCATAGCAGTCCCTCTAATTTACATTCCTACTATAGTATATGAGGTTCCCCCTTTCTCCATACTCTTGCCAGCATTTGGTATTTCTTCCCTGTCTTTTGATAAAAGCCATGTTAACTGGGGTAAGCTGATACTTCATTGTAGTTGTAATTCGCATTTCTTTGATGACTAATAATGTTGAGCATTTTTTCATATACCTTTTGGCCATCTGTATGTCTTCTTTTGAGAAATGTCTATTCAGATCCTTGGCCCATCTTTTAATTGGATTATTTGATTTTTTCCTATCAAGTTGTTAGAGCTCCTTATACATTCTTGTTATTAATCCCTCATCAGGCTCGGCACCTGTGGCTCAAGTTGATAAGGTGCCAGCCACGTACACTCAAGGTGTACAACAATGACGGCTGCAACCAAAAAATAGCTGGGCATTGTGGCGGGCGCCTGTGGTCCCAGCTACTTGGGAGGCTGAGGCAGGAGACTCGCTTGAGCCCAGGAGTTGGAGGTTGCTGTGAGCTGTGATGCCACAGCACTCTACCCAGGGGGACAGCTGGAGGCTCCTGTCTCAAAAAAAAAAAGGAGAATCCCTCATCAAATGGGTAGTTTGCAAATATTTTCTCCCATTCTATGGGTTGTCTCTTCCCTTTGTTGATCATTTTCTTTGCTGTGCAGAAGTTTTGATGTGATCTCATTTGTCCAATTTCATTTTCGTTGACTATGCTTTGGCGATATTACTCAAGAAGTCCTTGTCCAGACCCATGTCCTAAAGCATGTCCCCAAAGTTTTTTTTTTTTTTTTTTGCAGTTTTTGGCCAAGGCTGGGTTTGCACCGCCACCTCTGGCTTTTGGAGGTGCAACCTATGCAAGTGCCCTACTCCTTTGAGCTGCAGGCACCGTCCCCAAAGTCGTTTTTTTTGTTGTTGTTAGGAGTTTAATAATTTCAGATCTTAGATTTAAATCTTTAATCCATTTTGATTTGATTTTGAATATGGTGAGAGATAAGGATTTCATTCATCTGCATATAGGTATCCAGTTTTCCCAGCACAATTTATTGAAGAGACTGTCCTTTCTCCACTATATATTCTTGGCAACACAGTTGAATATAAGTTCCCTATAAATGTGTGAATTTATTTCTGGATTCTCTACTCTGTTTCATTGGTCTGTGTGTCTGTTTTTATACAGTACCATACTGTTTTGATTACTGTAGTTCTGTAGTATAATTTGAAGTCAGGTAAGGTGAGCCCTCCAGTTTTGTTCTTTTTGCTCAGGGTGGCTTTGGCTATTCTGGGTCTTTTGTAGTTCTTTATAAATTTTAGGATTATTGTTTCTATTTCTATGAAAAATGTCATAGGTATTTTGATGGAGATTGTGTTAACTCTGTAGATCTCTTTGGGTAGTATGGTCATTTTAATAATATTGATTCTTCCGATCCATGAGCATGAAATATCTTTTCCTGTCTTTGTGTGCTCTTTGACTCATTTCATCCACATTTATGGTTTTCATTACAGAGATCTTTCATTTTATGGGTTAAGTTTATTCCTAGGTATTTTATTTCATTTTTGGCTATTGTGAACAGGATTACTTTCTTGGTTTCTTTTTCCATATTTATGGTTTTCATTATAGAGATCTTTCATTTATCGGTTAAGTTTATTCCTGGGTATTTTATTTTCATTTTTGGTTATTGTGAATAGGATTACTTTCTTGGTTTCTTTTTCATATCATTTATTGCTGGCATAAAAATGCTATGGATCTTTGTAGATTGATTTTGTATTCTGCAACTTTACTGAATTTGTTTATCAGGTCTAATTTATTTATTTATTTATTTTTGGTGGAGT